TATTCTGGACATTTGTATCCCTTGACTACATGCGTGTGTGTGTATATATATATATATATATATATATATATATACTATTTTATACTATTAACAAAAAAATTATAAAATTATATAAACAATTATAAAATGTAAAACTTCAAGTTTCAATTATTGATTCATAAATAATTATAATATTAAATTGCAAATTATAAATTTATTACAAAAAATAATAGGAATTACTAAATAATGAAATATGCTCTAATAATTTATAAAATGACAAAAAATATATAAAAAAAAATACTTTATTATAGAAATTCAATAAATATTATAAAATAAAATAAAAATATGTACAAGAATCCTCCAAGCCCTATCCCACCATCGAAATTTAGAAAACAATTCTCTTCCCACCGTTCTTCAAACTGTACAAAAATTCAGCAACATTTCTCTTTATCATCTTCTAAAAATCATCCAAATCCCATCCCACCATCAACATCTGTCCAAATCCCATCACACCACCAAATGACAACAACTCATTCTAACCTAAACCCCAATGGGGGTGGTGGTGGCGGCGATGGTGTATCCTTTCGACGGGAGGGGATCGATGGTGGTGGGGAAATCATCGTCTCCACTTTTTGATTTTGGTGGTGGGTGGCTGAGAATTTTCGAGAAAGTAAAAGAAACAAAGAGAGGAAATAAGAGTAGTTGCACTGCAAAATTTAAAACCGTTAAATTTATGTTGACTGGCTGTCAAAAATAGAGGAGTCTTTGTAGTTTTTAATACTAAGGGGGTGAATGCGACCTTTTTCACAGTACAGGGTGGAAACTGTATTATACCCTAAAAAATCTATTGCAATTTCAAGATTCTTCTTATCAATAGAAGGGAATAATGCTCTTGAATGATTTGCTTGTCACTATAAGAGAATATTACACTTGATGCTTTTTTGTCTATTATTGAAAAGTACTAGGCATATTATAGGGCAAAAAGAAGTTCTTCAAAAGTTAATGCCAAACTTGGTGGACCATCTTGATTTTTGGGCTTATTTGGATTCAGTCATTTGGTAATGAACTTTAAATTCGTATCTCTCATTTTTCAATTGTTTTAACAATTAAGGTGGATTTTGAAAACCCTTCTCATTTACAGTCACTTCTAATCCTCCCCACTTGAACCCATTTACAATCCATTCCTTTCAAATAACACCAGCCCAAAGGTTACCGCAAGTTTCAATTGGTCATCGTATAATTGGTGTTGAAATAGTGAACTCAATTTTTTTAAACATGCGTTAGTTTATCCTAATAAAAAGTAAAAAATAACGTAATCATTTTATCAGTGACCAAAATGGACTTTCGATATCATTTTTACGATTTTAACAATATTTGAAGGATTTTTTCTTTAATCTTTAATTTATTTATTAGTTCTTTTAATAAGAAAATTAGTCAAATAGCGGTGAAAGAAAACAAAGAAGTGTAATATGAATATGAATATGATATATAAACCATTTCCTTAGATCGGTTACACCCCTTATCAAACTATTATAATACTCGTACCGTATCTGCTACTTTCCGAATCATATACATGTGTACGTGCAGGGATCGTGGACAATCTTTGGCGTAGCATAGGTGAGTATCAAATTGTTGAATATCTTTTCAAAAAAAAATTGTTCTTATCCATTAACATATCTTTACCTGTAGATAGCACTTTACCGCCTGAATTTTAGCTTGTTTTGCGTTTAGCCACTTTTATAAATATGGATTTTTTGATGTAGACCCCTCATAAATTGTTTTAATATAAAGAGGTCTATTTATATTTTTTCCATTTAAACTCACGATATTTTTTAATCTCAAAATTACCGTTCAACTATCTTCTTTCCACTACACATCATCTTCATTTTTTTTCTCTTAAATTGATTTTCATTTTTCTTGTTTGTTTAATTTTTTTTTTCCTGTCAGGTTTATATAATAGAAATCGACTACTAAGATCGTAGTTGATTAATAAAATTGACTGCTAAAATAGTGATCGATTATGCAATCAACTTTAAAAGTAACAAAAACAACTGTAATGTCGTCACTGGCACTCAACACAATTCAACATAACTAAACAA